GTATGTGACCGAGACAAGTGAAATAAGTAGCTTTAAAATGATTTATGCGACGAACGCTGTTATGTAATGTTAGATACATTTGGCACAATTTTCTAGTCTATCCTGCATGCATGTTACAGGTCTGCCCATGTAAAGAATAATTTCCTGGATGTTGATTATCTTGAATCATGATATTGATAGATTACTCACTCTTTAGCACTATTATAAAAACTTACGTGTTGCTGTTGATGTGAGCAGTTCCTTCCAGGGACCTCTGGGCAAGTTTTACTCAGGAGTACATTAGCTTGCTGCATCAGTGGTACTGTAGCCTGGGCCAGTGCTGTGAATCTGGAGACTGCAGGATAACCAACAACATCACAGGTACCACATTAACCATCTCAGCTTGACTCTAGTAGCCGCTTTTACCGAGAACAAGTGAAATACCCGGAGTAACTTCTGAGCCTTGTGGAGATTGTTTAGCTAAATATAATTTCAGGTGATTTAGCAACAAAGAAGGTGAATTCTGCGTCGCTGCAGAAATGACCAGGCCCACAAGGCTACGCAAATGACACTAGCTACTTACATGAGATTAGTGACTTTTTTTTAATATCTGTAAATATATTAGCTGGTGGGGCTCCATATATTTTGAATGAGCCCACTCACCGTGCATCATTGCCAGGATTTTTCTGTATCTGGCGCTATTGTTTTAAAGCTCGTACTCTTCTCTGTGCGCACATAACGCAGGTCTAGCAAAGGACCTTCAGACGAAGCTCCACGGGCAGCACCTGGCTCAGTCTGTGATTCTGAAGGCTATTCAGGGTTTTATCAACAACCCAGAGTCCAACAAGCCGCTCACCCTCTCCTTCCATGGCTGGTCCGGCACCGGCAAGAACTTTGTGGCCCGGATGATCGCTGATAATCTGTATCGTGACGGGGTGAAGAGCGAGTGTGTCCGTCTGTTCATTGCTCCTTTCCACTTCCCACACGCCAGGCTGGTGGACACGTACAAGGTAAGACATACAGAGCCCACTTGGGGATGTGCCATGAACATGTTGTGATCTTGCTGAGTCAGATGTTTAGTCTGTTTTTTGTTTTTTGTTTTTTTGTTGTTGTTTTTTGTAATTTGGTGAATGAATGATGATGCCCACGGTTTGGATGGATGCTTAAAACCAAAAATTGTTCCTACCAGTACTGACATGCATCGAATGTGGCGTTTGTGGAGCCAGGGCACAGGTGTCAACATGGACTCATCTGCACATTTTTACATAATCACTGGATTAGATTTCAAAATGGTGTTGACAGTTTTATTACACAAACCAATCTGTATTTATGACAGTATAGTATGCAGGATAACCTTTAAACTGGCATAATAAAGGTCATTCACTAAAATAACAAATAGAGCTGTATAGAAGTAAATATGTGCAGTGTTTAGAGTACAAATCTGTTTTTTGTTGGAAATGACAGTGATTTTAAGCTGTTCTAGCTTCTAGATCAGTTTGTCTTTCTGTATAAAGTATGAGAGTGAAATTTCAGTTTAAATTTAAACTTAGTTTATTAAGTTTCAGCATGGTTTATCATATACTTCCACTTAAATTTGTGCCAGAACAAAAGCCTTAACCAAGTCAAAAGGAAGTTTAGTTTTTGTTTTCTGCTGTAGATTGAGAAATGTGAGTGAGTGTCAACACTGTAGTGTGGTCTTCCCCTTTGTGTCCAGGGCCAGCTGAGAGAAGCGATCCGGGACGTGGTGCTGCGCTGCCCTCAGACTCTCTTCATTTTCGATGAGGCTGAGAAGCTTCACCCGGGCCTCATTGATGCCATCAAGCCCTACATGGATCACTACGACAACGTAGATGGGGTCAGCTACCGCAGAGCCATCTTTCTCTTCCTCAGGTTGGTTCTTGTTTCAGGCACACAATGTCTTTTAAAGCTAGGTCAGAAAACTCGCTTCCACTCTGAATGCATTGCCCCTTTGGCCCAGATATTCTGGCAGGTCATCTTTGAGGATGTTTCTTCTTCTGTCTACATTAGATCTCTTTATGAGTTTTTCATATTTTTCAATTACTCATATCCAATTTCTGCTGAGGAATCATCTGTTCAGTCAAATGTAGAAACACACTTTTCACTACACCATTATGGCGCAGTAGTATAATGTAGGGGAGGCCTGGGGTTACAAAAATACATACTAATATATGTGAAATTACATGTTAAATAGTCATACTGAAGTTCAGTTTATTACACTATTTTCAGATTAATTCATCTTTATTCAGATCTAGTTGGGGAAACAGCAATTGGTATTTGTTTTTGGTGGAAAGAAATTTGTGTCACATTATCTGGGTATCATTATTTAAGTATGAATTTAATGTATTTAAAGACAATAAGCAAAAAAAGTAGTTATTTTCCCACCATAAACTGTGATTGTTTGTCCTACCATCTAATCTACATTTAACAAAATGTATTGACAACCTTCTCTGCAAATCCTCCATCGATGTCAAAAACTGCAGAGATTTTACATCATATGTTTCTTTTGTCTCCACAGTAATATCGGTGGAACAGCAATCAATGATGTAGCACTGGACTTCTGGCACTCCGGTCAAAATCGAGAAGATATTGGTATGGAAGACCTGGAGCATCGGCTACGAACTGAAACTATGGAGTCCCAAGGTATACAGCACTGCTGGCATCTTTGTGGGTTGCAGTCTTTTACTTGTTTACCTGTGCTCTCCACCATTTCACCCTGGGCAGAAAGTGAAATCATTTTTTTTTCTGTCTTAATATAAAATCATTGGTTGGTGGAAGTATAATTGTGCTTGGGAATTTCTAAGCAATTTTTCTTTGTGGTTCTTCTTCCCAGGTGGGTTTGCTCAGAGCGAGCTGATGTCCGGCCACCTGATTGACTTCTTTGTGCCCTTCCTGCCCCTGGAGTACCGCCATGTTAAGCTTTGTGCACGGGATGCATACGCAGCCCGAGGTCTGGAGACAGACGAAGCTACACTGGATGAGGTGGCCAAGGCGATGCTATATGTCCCCAAAGAGGAGCGACTGTTCTCAGCTCAGGGTTGCAAGTCCGTACCCCAGAGGATCAACTTCTTTCTTCCCTAGAAGGAGATACAGCTAGAGAGAGAGAGAGAGAGAGAGAGAGAGAGAGAGACCTGGAGGAGCTGTGTGGTGCTTTCCTAGACCATCCACATACAGAGCCGCAGAGGAGATGTCTTCTCTGCTCTTCTCTATGTGCTCTCCTCCACCTGGCAGATACACATGTGTCTGTCCAGGTTGCTCAGAGAAGGCCGGACACCAAGGCAGATCCAGAATTAGAGGGAAAAGCAGCATGGCCCACCCTGCAGACATCAGTAGTGTCACAGGAAATGTGCTCATGCCAGATGGTCATCATGTACAGTGGGACTGCTCTCCTCCACCTGCCTAGTTTGAATCCTCACGGTGTCAAAATGAAGAACTGAATAAGACTGTGTCAGGGTTGTGCAGTGTATATGTCAGACAGAGGTCATGACATATGTGTTTTTATCATGTCATATTATTTGTGACTGTTTACCTTGGTTGAAGTCTGAGTTGTTCTCTTGAAGTTCTTAATTCATGTGTTGGCACTGCATGCCCCACATTGTGTTTGTATTAGCACTGATTATTTATTAACATAATTTATGCCAAATTTGAACATGTTACTGGATTATTTTTGTGGAGTAGTTTAAATGGACTTTTGGTGGTTATGTAAGCCATTAACTTGGCTTGTAATGAATATTAAATGGCGATGGAAATGTTACTTGAAACTCACAGAGAACATAACTCATTGAATTTATTTGAAAATGAACTTTTTGCGTGAATTTAACTTTAATATGTAATTATTCAACTTTGTGGCATTGTTTATTCATTGACTTAATTTACTTCTCTCAACCATTCATTCACTTTCACAGATCTGTGTTGGTCTGCTTTAGTAATTTTGTTCTTTAAAGCTCCTTGGGTCACCTTACAAGAAGAATGTGGAACGACATGATGTTAGACAGTGTTTTAATAAAATAAATGCTCACATTAAAACACAAACTGTTATTATTTAATGCAGTATTATTTAGCCCACTGTGTACTTTTTTATTTGATTATTATATTATTTATTAGTCAGAACTCACCCAATCTCAATTAGCTGTTTGTTTTTGCATGGTGCATACGATCTTACCTTTTCTAATAATGGAGGTACATTACATGCCAGTGTTGGTACAAACATTCCTCACAAGACAAGAGCTAAACAATAACTGGCTGCACTTTTGCTAATTTGCTTAATTTTAAAGCTACAATTCACTGGTTTCAACTGTTCAAATGTGAATATTTGCTATTTTTTGTTGCAAGTGGTTTTCATCTGGCCTAACGTGGTCTAGTAGGGAAAATGTAGCTTTCGACTAAACTATCGAGTCTGGATGCGAACTTCAGCGTTGTATTCTTTAGCTTCAGTTACGTTTCAACGGCTCATGTATTTGTTCGTTTTATTTATTCTGTGCTGTTTTTTTTACACTTTAATATGATTCACCCACGGGCATCACCTTTCCCTGGGCGTGTATAAAGTAAATGCGTGGTCTGCTCTCATTGGTTACTGCGATAATTCTCCACATTTGTTCTCCTCTGATTGGCTGGGAGCTGTAACACTTCCTCGGAGGCGATATCCAATCGAATTCAGACATCTGTTCGGAGCCGAGAGGAGAGAGCATCAATAGCATCGCAGGGTTTTTCACTGTAACAGCACTGTATGAGAGTCCGGACTGGCAATCAACGCTGCTGCACCACGTAGAAACATTATACAGAGTTATTTGTAATTGTCGTTCTTCATTTGACGGGGTGTTTCAGCTCGTCACAATGACAGCCCTGTCGCTGCTTTTGATGGCCGTGTCGGCCGCATCTGTGCTGGCCGAGTCTACTGTGTATTTCCGAGAACAATTTGAAGATGGGGGTGAGGTCCTTTACAATAGATTATACCTTAACTGTTTAACTGTCTTGTTGTGTGTTGTTGAACCTGTAAATGTACCTGTCAGATATTAACAGCAGTGAATCTGTGCATGAGTAGCAAAACTGGCGGCTTCATTAGCCTAATGCCCGAATGAATTTTATGATTTTTACCTCCATTTTTGTGGTGCAGTGGCTGTTTGGTGCTCAGCTGGAGATGCATGTAGTCTGCAATAACGTTACCACCATTAATCCTTATCTTTCTCCTGTCCCTTACTGCACAACTTCTCCATATTTCCCCGGCAGTCATCATCAAATCCCGTCTGCCTCCTCCCCATCTCCTTCTTGCTCATCTATCCACTATTAACCTCCTTCACCTAGCTGTCTTTTTTACACAGCAACCGAGCACACAGTGAAGGCATCCACATAAATGCATGTCCCTGCAGCATTACACATTCCCAGTGCACCTGCACTGATGCATGATCAGAAATGGATTAGCGACCTTGTGAGTGTTTTGACTGTTCTGCGTCGCTGACCTGAAACTTGTTTGTGCAGATGCTTGGAAGAGTCGCTGGGTGGAATCAAAGCACAAGTCGGACTATGGCAATTTCATCCTGACTGCAGGGAAGTTTTACGGAGATGCAGAGAAGGACAAAGGTGGGCGGAGGGGAAAGGTTATATTTGTTTCTTGCACTGTGGGTCTACAAGATGGTTAACTCCCACAAAGTTTGTGACTGGGTGAGGTGTTTTTATGCAGCCTCAGGCTTAGAATTGACTGACAATCCACAAAGATATGGAGCTTCAGGATAGATTTTCTTGTGACATTCATTAGTGGCACAAAATTTGTTTTAAAGGCGAGACCAATTCTCAAAACTATATGGTATTTTCAGTTTGGACACTAAAGCCATCACAACAGTCCATCTCTCTGTTGTTCAACTTGAGATGACACTTGGTCAAACTGACACAAATCTGTTCAATGTTATTAAACAACATGGATGAACTGTATTTAATGTTAGATTCTCCTTTAATACTGCACAGACAAGTTGCAGTAACCCTGTTTCTGCTGCAGGCCTGCAGACAAGCCAGGATGCCCGTTTCTATGCATTGTCAGCCCGTTTTGATGACTTCAGCAACCAAGGCCAGCCACTGGTCATCCAGTTCACTGTGAAACATGAGCAGAGCATTGACTGTGGCGGAGGCTACATTAAACTGTTCCCCTCTGATCTCAACCAGGAGGACATGCACGGAGACTCGGTCTACAACATCATGTTTGGTGGGTGTGCATAGTTTGTTCTGTGGGTAAAAGAATTCTGTCTCTTCTGTGAACTGTTTGTCAGTCCCATAGAGCTGCATTGCTGTCCAAAAACAATTAAAAATGGATAAGTGAGCCAGACGACTACACTTCATTCCAAAAAATATGGACATGTAGTTCACATATAAACAGCTCCACAGATGAATGACAACGATGATTTTTACATCCTCTGAGAAAAGATTGTCAGATTTGATGGATTAATGGGGCGGAGCCAGAGGAGGAAGTACATCCTGGTGACCTGTTTATAGATTAACTACAGCAATGCCGTATATTTTGTAATGAAGGAAGTCAGCCAGGGCAACACTTTGGCTCATGAATGTGTTATTAATAATTTTCTCTACCAAAATTGAGCTCTATGGCACAGCTAAATATGCTAAGTAGAATTTTGGATACTCAGACAATGCAGGATACGTTCATCGGTTTTGTCATGGGATTTGTTGATAGTAAGAGAAAAGTATCAAATCATCACCCTTATTCTTTAAACACCAGTGGTCAGCCACTTTCACAAATGTATATATTTTGTCTGGCTTAGTGTATTCAGTGCTTTTATTTTAGTTGGCTTTGGAATATTCCTTATTTATTCTTTGCCAGTTTATGCTTTTGACTGTGAGACTGAAATCCACATTTTCCCATATGTACTTGCTCAGGTCCTGATATTTGTGGCCCTGGCACAAAAAAGGTTCATGTCATCTTCAACTACAAAGGCAAAAACCATCTGATCAACAAGGACATTAGATGCAAGGTGAGGCATCAGCAAGCTATCCCATTGTATGAACAAATGGGTGCTTGCTTACATTGATTATTGTTTGCTCTTAGAGTTTGTTCCACTTCATTAGCATTTTAAATCAGCAACATTGATGTTCTCATTCTTACCATGAAAGCAAATCAGCTAAAACACATTGAAAGAGGAAATAGGTATTGAGTAATAAACATTATATGTGATTAAAACCCAATGAAATGTTAAAAGTTTAATTTAAGAACAACAATGCGTGACACTTACAGTATAGCTTCTGTTCCGCCCTGCAGGATGATGAGTACACCCACTTGTACACATTGATTGTCAACCCAGACAACACCTACGAAGTCAAGATTGACAATAAGAAGGTCGAGTCTGGCAGTCTGGAAGACGACTGGGACTTTCTGCCTCCCAGAAAAATTAAGGACCCTGAGGCCAAGAAGCCAGAGGACTGGGATGACAGGGAGAAGATTCCTGACCCTGATGATAAGAAACCAGAGGTCAGTCTTCCTGAGCCATCCGTTTCCAT